CACAAACATTGTAGGTACGACGGCTAATCAAAATGGTACTTACTTGCGCTTATCCGGATTGTTCAAACCGACTTAAAACTAAAAGATTACGTTCTCTCGCGCGAACTCATTCGGGAGTGGTGACTTTCCACGTATTCCCAACTTCTGAGCCTGCTCGCCTGAAGTTATGGTTGATTGCTCTTCGGCTGGATATCAACACACCCATTAATGTAAACTACGCCAGAGTGTGTACACACCTCACGTACCGGATGCCGTGCGCGCGCCCAAAGACAGTTGGACATAGTGGTGAATTAGAGGTAAAAAAATTATATAAATACTGTTCGGTTTCTGGCACAAACCGATCGTTTCATGTCTTAGGACATCAATGTGTCATCACAAGCCGCAGGGTTTAATTTGGATTTGTCTGTGCATGTTTTTTTTACTCTCATAGATTTGGTTACCATTTCCATGCATTATACGACTGATAGACTGCAACGGCTGGAGTTCAAAAAATCATCATATGTGTTCTACTGAAGAAACAAAGTCACCTACATCTTGGATGCCCTGGGGGTCAGCAGATAAACATCAAATTTTCATTTTTGGGTGAACTATCCCTTTAAGTTGTGCTTTTCTTATTAATGGTGAAAACAGGAGAAATTCACCTTTCCACAAACTATTCCAGCATAACATTAGTTTTGTATAATATCAACCTGTAAGAATGCTAGTGCTAAATAAAGCCAAATAGTGTTCAAATCAAGCATACACTATCTTGGATGCCCTGGGGGTAAGCAGATAAACATCAAATTTTCATTTTTGGGTGAACTATCCCTTTAAGTTGTGCTTTTCTTATTAATGGTGAAAACAGGAGAAATTCACCTTTCCACAAACTATTCCAGCATAACATTAGTTTTGTATAATATCAACCTGTAAGAATGCTAGTGCTAAATAAAGCCAAATAGTGTTCAAATCAAGCTCCACACAAGCATACACTACCATTCAAAAATACAGTAAAAAACGTAATATTATGAAATATTATTATTGGATTTGATGTTTTGACCTCATGTGCACACACATTGAACGTATTGGAAATATGGGTGTGAAAATGTCATGTTATCACTCTCTGCTGTGCTGGAATATTGAAGAAAAATATTGCTGGGGTCAATAGGTTGAAAGGTCAAAGTGCACTTGGATGGAATTGGCAGCATATATGAATGATATCTGAAGACAAAAATATATTTAATACAGTTGCACGTTAAAGATGAAAAATATTGTGAAGCTGTCTATAATTCAATAACTGTATTTTTAACAGCACACTTTTGAAAAGCTCAGGCTTTTGCTTTATAGAAAAGAGCTGCATAGAGAAAAACATTATATTCTCTCTCTATATAAGAGAGATTAAGATTTATATATTAAATCTTTAATAAAGTTAATACTTATAGAAAGGATGTATTGATTTGATAAAGACAGTATAGTGATAGTGACTAAAGACAATGTTACAAAAGATTTCTATTTCAAATTATTTTTAATTTAACTTTCTATTCATAATTTAAAACAATTTATAATATATTAAAATAAAACAGTTTCAATTGTAATATTTCACTATATTACTGTTTTTCTGTATTTTTGATCAAATAAATGCAGCCTTGGTGAGCATAAGAGACAAAATCATAAAAAATAAAAAAA